TCAAACTGCTAATGTTGCTTATGAAGGTTCGTAATTGAGGAAAATGACCCGCAAGTACCTAAGTGATAAGAGCTGTTTGGATTCTCTATATAGATGATAGGAAAGGAGCTTCAGTGTTCCTTTATAATCAGTTTTATCCGAGGATGCACTGGATCATTCTTTATGAAACAAAAGAAGAAAATGCTTTAACATTTAATTAGGGATGTCCCGATCACCTTTTTTTGCTCCCGATCCGATTCCGATCATTTGATTTTGAAAATTTGCCGATACCGATTTTTCCCGATCCGATCTTTATGCAATGCATTAAGAGAAAAAAAAGAAAAAAAGCATTCAAGTTGTCCCTTAAGGTTATTTNCATACCTATATAAAACATGTCTGCAAAGTTTTTTTTTCTAAATACCAAACAGATCATGCATTTTAGCCATGCCTCATTTGCTCTTTTCCAGCCCTGTCTTCACAAGGGCTGATTCTGTGAGAAGTCTTCTTCGCTGCTTTTGTGGCAGACTACAGCGCCACCTACAGGCCTGGCATATGTACCACAGCGTCTCCAGCGCTTTCGAACGGCAATGGCCNTACCTATATAAAACATGTCTGCAAAGTTTTTTTTTCTAAATACCAAACAGATCATGCATTTTAGCTACAGATGTCCCAATCCGATCACATCCCCGATCACGTGATCGGATTGGGACATCTGTAGCTAAAATGCATGATCTGTTTGGTATTTAGAAAAAAAAACTTTGCAGACATGTTTTATATAGGTATGGCCCTACAATATATTATTCAAATATAGCATGATAGGTCCACTTTAAATGTTGATTCAATATATATGTAAAATGACACGCCTTTTTTACACAATACACTTTTTCCTAACACTGAAGGATCCATTTTTAAGTCCATGTTTGATTAGATTTTCTATGGAGTATGACTTTGTTATTTTTTCCAAACTAATGCTTCGCAACCACACATTTAGATGTTACTTTCATATCTAGTACAATGCTGTCGTAGAAGCTGGCTGTCGTAAAAGAGAGCAGCACAGCAGCACTAACGGGCGGAAATGATCCGATTTTTACGGCCCAAATGCCAATCCTTACAACCGCCTCGAGACATCTGCACTCTACATGTCGGACGCTGGAGACAAGCTCCTCCTCCTTCCTTTCTCAAACATATTGTCCATTTACTGTCACACGTCTAACCTCTGTATCATTCGTAAAGTTTAATCAGTTTAAGATGCCCCTAGCCCTGGTGTTTAACCTACAATTCAAACACTTTCTAAGGGCTCATGTCCACATACCACCGTTTAAAAAAAATAAATCAGTGTATTTTCTTAACAAAAGTAGAAAAATAAAGCCACATGTAAAGATGAATTTTTTCAGTAGTGCAAAATAATTGGAGGTTTTTCGGAATGGAAACGATTTCAATTTATTTCAATGAGAACAGAGAGAGGCCACCTTACCAAACAAAGCTGTATCTTTTGCTTTTGCGAATGCTCCCAGCGCTTCAAGTTGAGAATATTTTTTAAAACTCTGGCATCTAGAAATCGCATGTAAAGCTTGTTTATGTCTTTCAGACGGAAACTATCATAACAAAGACCAAAGATCAAGAACTTAGATACAACAATATATAATTGTATTCTTCCAGTGCGAAATTGTGGAGTGGCAGATGCTATACAAATATGTATAAGGTGCTAATCCAATGGTATAATGAGGTTTACAGTAAGGATATTCATTTGCATCAACACTAATACTCCATAGGGCTTTCAGACTGAACAACATTCATTCAAAGTGTGAGAGAAAGCATCCTCCATTTGGTGAACATGGGGCACAAACAGATGATACAATCCAAGGGGATGATGCTAGTCTCTAATACATCAGCAGTAATCAATGTCAAGATACTGTTGGGAGCGAGCTCTGGCGCCATGTGGACACAACGGACTATCTCTGCCTGGAACTAGAACTCCAATCCAACATATATTCTCTCTCCATCTCACCTCTCACTTCTCCGGTAAACTCTTTTTTCTTCTTGTATCTCCTCCTCTCCCTCTCTATTTTTATAAAAGTCTCTCTCCCTCCTTTACTCTTTCTCTCTGCAGGCCCTGAGGAAAGAGGCCTCTGCGGTGGATGGAGGCAGAAGAAGACAAATAACTTTTCAGGGTGCAGGAAGTAGGTCATCCTCCTATCAAATATTTATTTCTCATACTGTGCCTAAGGCTCCAAAAGGACTCCCTCTTTAGATACTGTACGTGTGTGTGTGTGTGTGTGTGTGTGTGTGTGTGTGTGTGTGTGTGTGTGTGTGTGTGTGTGTATGACAATATTTGAGTACAGGCATGTTGAATATTTGAAGGTGCCCGTCTTTTTAAGAGCTGTGGTACGGTATTTATTTAATGATATTAAAATAGCTTTTCCTATCACTGTGTATTTACTGTATGCAATTGTTTTTCCATGCATAGAGAATTTGATGTTCCAAATTATAGAGAAAGACAATGACAACGTGGGGGAAATATGAATAAAATATGTAACCCTGCAGCCCAAAATGATTGTTCTTCCATAAGTCTTCAGGAAGAAAAGAAGATACAAATGAAGACAGAAGCAGCTCGGCCATGTTGCTCTTTATTTTTATAGTAATATTTAGGGCTGCACAATTATCAAAGTGTAATCAAAATTGCTAAATGGATACGTGCAACGATCAAATCACAGGAAGCATAATATTTGTTAAATGCTAATTATGTGAAATACCATTTTGAATTAAGAAATGTGGAGCTGCAGAAGTTTCCCCTCCCACAAATCTTATTACTGACTTAATAAAACATATTTGTTTAGTCCAGAAAAACATCACCATGATCATATTAAAGGTCACCTACAGTATCATGCTATTTTTAGGCAATAGCAGCATAGGTCTCAGATATATAAGAAAATATTAAAAAAAATGTCTCATACCTCATTCACACCAACGCAACTCCAGTTCAAGCTCCGTGCTAGAGCTTTTCAGGTTCAGAACCGGTTCTTCGGTTTAGCTCCGGCTCTTTTCACACTGCCAGAGTCCGACTGGTGCTGCGTCATTGCGTCACCGTTTGCGTCATGAAGTAACCGTTTGCGTGCCTGCTTCATAAAGCCAAACCGCGCGGAAACCCCTCACAGCTGACACCGTCAACAACAACAATGGCCGATTGTGCTCCAGCTTCCTCTGTACCTCTTCAGAAGACCAGATTCCCAGTAGGTAGCTGGTCTCTTCAGTGGACCACTGCTGCTTGTTAAGTTTCTCCATCGTTGTGTACAAACTGGATAAAACACAGGCTTTTTGTTGTTGTTCAGGAGTTGTCATAGAGCGAGCAAGTCATTTCATTGGATGAGAGGCATACTATGAGAGCTGGTCACAGGGATGCGTTCAAATTTAGTGAGTAATTTGCGGAACTGTCGAAATGGCGAACGCAGATAAAGTTGAGCTCGAAGATCCTCCAGCATAATTGAAGTCTCCGGTTTGGGAACATTTTGGTTTCGCAGTTACGTACAAGGATGACGAACAAAGACAGGTGGACCGAACCAAAGCCGTTTGTCGGCATTGTTCAACTAAAATTGGTTACGCGGCTGGCAATACACCAAACTTGCACACCCTTTCGAAAAGTTATCACCCGAACGTGAATATCACCGGTACCAAAAGAAAAAATACTGAAGTGCAAACCCAACTCCCGCTAGCATTTAAGCCTCCACCACTCGCAAAAAGTTCAGACCGAGCCAAAGCTATTACAAACGCCAAATATCCTTATGTTGCCATGTTAGCAAAGCGCTACCTGGCTGTATCTGCTACCTCTGTCCCTGGAGAGGATGTTCTCCACAGCAGGAGACATTGTTAGTGCCAGCAGATCTGCCCTTTCGGCAAGCAAAGTTCATTTTTCTTTAAAAAAACATGAAAATACAATGACAATTATTCACAGTTTAATAATAATTTTTTTTTTTTTAAATAATTTCAAAAAAACAAAAAATATTTTATGTTTTGTGATAATTTTTTCTGCTGAGCCGAAAACGTACCGAACCGAACCGTGAACTAAAAACCGAGGTACGTACCGAACCGAAATGTTTGTGAACCGTTACACCCCTAATGTATATACTTCAATGTTAATGAAAAAATAACCAATACCTCCAATATCGTGAATCGCAATTAGTTATTTTTTCAGAATCATGCAGTCACACAATAATAAATATTATATTTAATTTAGACACTTTTACACATAGCAATTAGAAGTAAATGCAGTCAACTATGAGGATACAAACTCAAAACAGCAATAATCCTGGAACTTCAAAATCCACCTATTTACAATTGCAGTTTTCTAAATAAACAACAAAATGTTATCTTGTGTTTTCTTTAGGTGAACCACCTATCAACCATGGAGTTTGTGCGCTTTAACATTCCTACACGCGAGTCAGATCTGATTACTGATATCATATTATTATAGATTTGGTCCACTTTCACAGGTTTTCTGACACAGTTCTGTTTTATGGCAAAGTGAATGATCTCAGTGTGCCCAGTCATATCACAGTTATTTAAGTTTGGAGACGAAGCGGTGACTCATGGGACGCGGTGGCAATTAGGGCAATTTGTATTCCTTTAGTGCATGATTGCACTAATCGTCAAAATTCAGAGTTGAAGCTGTCACAGTTTTGCCCGAAGAGTTCCCACAATCCCCAGACCAGACAAAATGTTTAATGGTCAACATGTATATGTTCTACTTTCTTGTTTATTTTGTGTCTTTTAATGCTGCTGCAACACAAACATTTCCCAAATTAGGATCAATGTATTACTTCTTATCTTATCTTATCTTAAAGGCGCAGCTTCAGTGAACTGGAAGACACTACTGATTCGATGTTGGAACTGGACAATATGGTTTATATTATTTTATGTTATTACAAGGCTTAGCTGAATACTCAATGCTAATTGGTCAATTTAGAACATTCTCGAACACTATGCTCTTTTTGTTTGTTGCTAGCATCTAAGTATAGCAACCGTTGCTAAGTGTTGAAAACTGTTGTTGAGAAGGAGACTCTGATTAAGGGACAATGTGCAGTTATATCAACCCGCAGAAAGAAGTCCGGTCATTTTAACGTCAGATGTGGCCAAAAAAAACATTAGTTCTCCTTTGTCAGAAAACTGCATCAAACCTCTTTTTAAGGCTTACACTGAAACTGTGATCAGTTTCTTTTACTGTCCTCTCTTCTGTAGAGGAAGTAAAGAAACCGTAACTCAGGATTTATTTGTTGTTTGAGGTGCAATATATGACTCTTTCTTCAAGCTTCAAGACCATGGATGTATAATAAGAACTGGATACAGCGTGGGAGGCGGGATCTCGTTCTTTCCTATGAGAGCTGCTCATCGGCGTATGAAGGCAAAATGGCCCAACTTTTGAGGGAGCGAAACTTCTCAGATTACCCAGCATGCCTGGCTGTCAGAGCAGAATAACCCGTAGAGAGAGGCGAAGTCCCTCCCTTTCCGGGGGAACTCCATGGGACCTTATTTCGGAAAAAGTATGTATTGAAGTCAATGGGGAGAGAAAGATTATCTTTCGATCCCGTTTGAATTGTGCCACGAATTACACATATGATGTTTTTCAATTTAAAAGATAATTTTGCAAGTCAAAACAATAAAAATGTATCGTAAAACTGTGAAGTAACACTATTTTTTGGTGTGAAACGCTCAATGAACGACATCTCTGGTCTCGCACCACACACCAAGACGGCCGTCACGTTGGCACATTTCACCTCTTTCTTTCAGAATGAGGCGAAAAGTATTAAAAGAGGTGAAAATCACTCCAAGTCTGGGCATGTTGAGAGCTGTGCATACACACAAGGGGAGTTAGTCGGTTCCGTAAGAGCCAGCATGCGGGACCGGCTTTACAAGGTTT